TTACACTTTCTCAGGCTTTATGTGGAAATTCTTGTCTCATATTGGGTGCCATTTGTAGATCAAGGTTTCTATACCACCTGGTCCCAGAGCTGTTTGGTCCCAAAGAAATACACAGAGGCTTATGTTAATTATAACCTATTTGGCCTATTAGCTCAGGCTTATTATTAACTAGCTCTTACAACTTAAACTAACTCAAAATTCTTGTCTATGTTTAGATATGTGGCTTGGTACCTTTTCTCAGTGAGGCATTCTCACCTTCGTTTCTTTGTGTTTGGCTGGTGACTGAGTCTCTGTCTTTCCTCTTCTTAAAATTCTCCTAGTCTGGTTGCCCCACCTATACTTCCTGCCTGACAACTGGCCAATCAGTGTTTTATTGAACCAATATGAGTGCTTTGTTGTTGTTGTTATTTTTTTTTAATTTTTATTTATTTATATTTTTTGGTTTGGTTTTGTTGGAGACAGGGTTTCTCTGTAGCTTTGGAGCCTGTCCTGGAACTAGCTCTTGTAAACCAGGCTGGCCTTGAACTCACAGAGATCAGCCTGCCTCTGTTTCTTGAGTGCTGGGATTAAAGGCGTGTACCACCCCCACCCAGCATGAGTGAAAAATCTTTACAGTGTACAAGAGCAGTATCCCACAGCACTTGTTACTGATGAACTAGGTTTACCAGTTCATTGAGCTTTAACAATGGGGTGTTAAAGGAACACCGTACAGACACTGGTTCTTGTCCATCTTCCAGTTAAGCAACTGCTTGGTGTAGTAAAGGAGTATGGGGATGAGTGGAAACATACAGACTAGCGATGAAATTCTCAGCTTCCTTTGCTGCTATTTGTGATTTTCCAGGAAAGGTTTGCAGGAAGTGGGATCTAGCTACTAACTGAGAGGGAATCAATGAGAAACAAGAGGCCAGGCTGCTCAACTTGAGTGCTTTGGGCTGGGGTGGAGCCTGCTCTATAATCTCCCACTCCATAAAGTCCTTTGCAGTTAGGTGTCTATGAGCCTACACCATCCTTCTCTCTTGGTCAACTAATCTATCTCAGGTGTCTTGTTGCATGAATGGAAAATTCATGAACATGTATAACGAGCAGGCCCACAAAGTGCTCACGTGAAGCCCTTGAGCTTGCTGTTGCCTCATTCATTCTGTCCTCATGGTCACCCCACAGTCATCTGCTCTTAGTTGCTGTCCTCATTACTGTGATAAAAACATTTTAATCAAAAGTTTATTTGAAGCTGTAGTCCATTGGGGCAGGAAGAGGATGAGGTAGCTAGGTAGCTGGTCACATTGTATCAGTTAAGATGGGTCTTCACACCTCAATTAACCTAATGTAGAAACTCCTTAGTGGCATTCCTGGGTGCTTGTCTTCCAGGTGACACTTGATCGCATTGACTTGACAACTGACAATAGCCTTCAGACTCTTCCAAGAAATAAATTACAGTTTTTATTACACAATGAACCCACTATCCCTAGGCCAAACTGTCACTTGATAAAATTGCCCTATGAAGAACTCATTTCAGCACTCCTTTTCCTTTTCACCTTCTACTGTGAGGTGGAGGTACCCCAATGATCCAAACCTATAAAGTAGGGATGTCTAGACCCCAACTAACCATAGGCTTCCCACCCCCTAGCCAGTCTATTTTCCATTATCTTTTTTTTCCTTCAACTTCCCACCAAAGATTTGACTTCATAGCCTGACTGCAAGAGAAGAGCTAAGATCATGAATCAAACAAATCAGCCCTAGGTGAATTATTTTCCGAAGAACATTAGCACCAAGAAAATGTTAATGATTCTAGGAAATGTTAATAACACCCACAAAATATTTAGGAAATGTCATAATAAATGCAGCCAAATAAATCTCTTTATTCCAGACACATTTGGGTTCTTGAAGTTTTAGTAGAGTGTCTTCCTCAGGGATTTTTAATAAATGTATGTGTCCATGGAGGTGTGTGTGTGTGTTTGTGTGTGTGTGTGTGTGTGTGTGTGTGTGTGTGTGTGTGTGCGAGTGTGCACGCATTCATTCAAGAATGTGTGCATGTGTGCATGTGGAGGTCAGAGGACAATCTCAGATATCATTTCTCAGGATACCTTGTTTTTAAAAATAAAAGCTTGGAGCTGGAGAGATGGCTCAGCAGTTAAGAGCACTGGCTGCTTTTCCAGAGGTCCTGAGTTCAGTTCCCAACAATCACATGGTGGCTCACAACCATGTATAATAGGATCTAATACTCTCTCTTGGCTTGCAGCTGTACAAGCTGAACACTCACATATAAGATATAAATAAATAAAATATAAATAATAAAACATGATCTCTCACTGGCTTATAGTTAATTAGTCTGACTACCGTTAGGTCTGTCTGCCCTGGCTTGTCTGTGAGTCCCTGGCTCCATCTGGCTCCACCTCTCCAGCACTGGGGTCATGAGCATGTACCACTATGCTGGGACTTTTCATGTGGGCAGTGGCCACACTCAGGCTCTCACGCTTACACAGCAAGTATTTTACTTACTAGGACATCTCCCATCACTTCTCCATTTTCTTTCTTTAAAGCTTTAGCTTGACCACATGAAATGAAGGGCTAACAATAAATAACTTGTTTTTAAACTTAAAATTTAGAGCAAGACTAGCTGGTATTTCTTGAATCCTTGCTTTCACCAGAGCCCATGGATTTGGCTATTTACACTCGACGATAATCCAGGAACAAACCTCTGCTGTTACCTCTTTTGATCAGATGAAGGAACTACACTTCTTTAAATATGGAGACAATTTACATTTCTCATTGGAAATAAACATGTCGGTTAAGGAAGTGGAATTTTTCTGTATGAGATCTTTCTTCAATGGGCCCCGAATTACTATGAATTACTGTCAGTTTTAAGGATTTGATTTTATGGCAGTGTGAAAGCCACACCACTCAGTAGGAACCAGACTTTGAGTTTAGAGCTGGTGATACACTGTGCCACTCTCTGGGATGCCGGGCAGTGGTGGAGAGCTTGGGTACAGCCCCATGATCACAGTCAGGAGTTGAAGATTGACATCTCATTGTGTGCTGCAGACTGAGTTGTGCTATATAGTAGGCCAAATGTAGCTGTGCTTTTTGAATTATTTCAACATACAGCTTGTTGGGAGGGAGCCCTGTCATGATTCAAGGAACCTGGATGGAAAACAGCAATGTGGAAAGACTCTGGCTCCTGAGCTAATGGTGAGTCTGGATTTCACTAGGAAGCAAGGGCCCATTTCCAGACTATTGGACAGGCAATTGGACCAATACAGGACCAGTCCCAGTAACTCCAAGAGCCACTGTTATCCTTTGCTCTTTAGTCAAGGGATAAAAATGTACAGAACTCTGCTGATGGCAGAGGGACACTCTGTGGGGTCTAGGAAAAGAACCACACCCTTCCTTTCTCTAACTTATGTGTCTGTTCTGCTCATGGCTGTGTTCCTGGCCTCCAAAATGGTGTCCCAAACAATGATCTAAATGTAGCAATGATCCATCTATCCAGACATGTTCCTTCACCAGCTATGACTTGGAATTGCCTTGATAAAAGGAAAGAACTGTTGTGATTGGAGCTGCGGGGCTAGCTTTATACCCAAAATAATTACCAGGAAACTGTATTCTTTTAAACACTGCCTAGCCCATTAGTTCCAGCCTCTTATTGACTAGCTCTTACATATTGATCTAACCCATCTAACCCATTTCTAATATTCTGTGTAGCACCATGAGCTGGCTTACCAGGAAAGATCTTAACCTGTGTCTCTCTGGAGTGGGAGAATCATGGCGACTCCCTGACTCAGCTTCTTTCTCCCAGCATTCTGTTCTGTTTACTCCACCCACCTAAGGGTTGGCCTATCAAATGGGCCTAGGCAGTTTCTTTATTAATTAACCAATGAAAGCAACAGATTAGAAAGAAATCACTCCCACATCAAAGAGCTCTCCAGTGTAGTCAACAGGATATGATCTTTGTTTGTAAATGGTGGGCAGGTTAGGAAATGGCTCTTGAAACTTCCTGGGGTACAGGGGAACTCAGGGTAAGAAGCTGTGAGCCTTGACTCCAGCATCCCCTGAAGCCATGAATTAGTTATTTTTAACCTTTCTATCCTTTCTTGATGATGATGATGATGGATGATGATAATGGTAATGACAGCAACATGAACATCACAGAGTTAATGGAAAACTAAGTGACATAAAGTAAGATAAATAAATCTAAACCAGGGAGGAAGCACTAGGGCAGCCTCAGAGAGAATTCCCCAGACACTGTCTCTCTTCCTTTTATGAGACGTATCTCTCACTTACATTGGGCTCAACAGGTAGACTAGGCTAGCCATCAAGACAGCCCCAAGGATCCACCTGTTTCCAGCTCCCTCTGCTTCCCCAGTGCTAGGATTCCAAGCATGTAGTAGCTCAGCTTTCATCCGTGGGTTCTGGGGATTGAGCTCAGGTCCTCATGTGCGTGAGATTAGTACATGACCGGATGAGCATCTTCACAGCTCCTGGTTTTGAACTCCACTGATGCTGGGCCCAGAGTGAGTCAGAACATCACTGTGGTGGGAGAAGTGTGGGAGCCCACGTGTGGCTCGGTTTCCATCTGGAGTCATTACTGACTTAAAGAAGCCGTTTGAGTTCAAGATTGCCTGTCTTGCTTGCCCCAAATATCCTTGAAGGCTGTGAGAAAGTTCTGATTAAGCCCTTGAGAAAGAACATTTTTTTTCCCCAGATGAAAGAATACATTATCTATTAAGATTTAGGTTGGTATATACCAGCCGGAGGCACTCCTCATTAGAGATTAGAAGCTGCTTAGCTGAATGAGGTAATGCACCTGTTTGAGCTTCCTCCCAAGGACAGGCGGGGAAGTGGCTGGTTGACTGTACTACCCTTTGTTCTGTCTTTTGCCTGTAATTAGTATATATGCTGGCTGAGACATAAACTCGGGACTGTTCGGTATTTACCTTCAGTCCTCCCAGTCTATCCTATGTTTCTGTCTTCATTTCTCTTAATCTGCCATTTCCCCCTCCCAGGTACCACTTGCTGATTCCTGCTGGAATGGACTTCAACAGAGAAGGAGGCTACTCACCTCATAGTAGATGTAAGGCAGAGGGCAAAGATGGACCTCCTAATGACCTACTTCCTCCTTCAAGCTATGCTCCATTCCCTAACATACCCATGATCTCTGTTTGTCACCTAAGAACCAAATATTCAATACCCCTGACTGTAGGGGACACTTCATATGCACACTATAGCATTTACACAGTGTCTTCATTTACTGCTTGTTTTAAACCTTCAGATCATTTGAAAGAACTGGTAGCCAATGTGAAGGAAGAGTTGCCCCTGGAATGGCCCCTCTGGGATCCCATTGTGCGTGATAGTGAAACACAGCAGGGTATCTTCCTGAGCCAGGAAGATAGACTACTTGACTCCATATCTATTTATTTTGAGGCAGGGTCTCTCACTGAACTTGGAACTCACCAGTTTGGCTTGGCTGTCAGGCTAGTGAGTTCCAGGGATGCTTCTGTCTGTCTCTCCAGTGATGGAATTACAGATGTACACCACCACATCTGGCTTTTCACGTGGGTGCTGGGGATGATTCTACTCACACAGCAAACACTTTACTAACTGAGCCATCTCCCACACGTAGGGCCCACAGGTCTACCCCTTCTCCCAGGATAGCTTGCAGTTTCTGGCAAAACATCTTGTTTGTTCCTGTGCTTGCTGTGCCCATCCTGGTGGTTAGTTATAGGGGAGTTTGCTCTGTCTTGAGCCTGGTAATTTCCCACCTGCCTAGGGGATTTCCACTGTGCAGCAATTAAGGCTTTCTCTAAGCTTGAATAAATGATATTCTGCACTCTCTCTTCATGAATGACCCACATCTCTTGTGATCTTTAATCTCCAGCCCCTTGCCTGAGTCATGAACTGCCCTGTAGCGCAGTCGCTTCACCACATCACACATTAGCAAAGAGTGACAGATATTATTGGTACACAGGTTCATCACATAAACTATTTTAATTGTAACTGTCTCTCTAGATTTTTAGTTTCTTCTTCTCTATGGTCTATTTGCTTCTACAATTCTGGAAAAAGACTCTCATCACTGAATGTCACATCGAGCAAGGGGAAGGACAGGTGGGCACATGTATTGGGACAAGGATGGGTGAACGAACACAGGAGAGTACGTTGATTATTTCATCTCCTGGTGAAACATCTGGATAAAGTGTGCCAGTTTCCCAGCTAGTTCATTCTGGTTGAGGTCCAGAGACACCAAACTCAAGAAAGCGAATGAATGTCATCTGGGGCTTCAAGGAATGTCAACACACCAAAGCTGAGACGCTGCACTAGAGAAACAAGCATGCTGCTGTCACAGGATTCTTTCGTCTTTGCGAGGAATGCGTAAGAATGGAAGCCGTAAGTGGACTGTTTCCATCATCACAGTGATTGATCAATACATATTGATTGTCAACTTGACAGGTGCTAGATCCCTAAGAAAAATACCCCCAGGTCTGTCTATGATGGAGTTTCTAGATTAGGTTAATTGAGGTGGGAAGACCCACCCTAGCTGTGGGTGGTACCATCCCATAGGCTGGGGACCTACACTGAGTAAAAAGGAGCAAGTGGTCTGAGCAGCCACATCTCCCTTCCCCTTGCTCTCTGATTGTGGAGGCAATGTGACCAGCTGCCTCTCCTCACATTCCTGCTGCCATGACTTCTGTACCACGATGCACTGACTACAGCCTCAAAGAGGGAGCCAGAATAACCCCCCCCCTTCCTCTTTAAGTTATTTATCCACAATAACAACAATCAAAAGTTAGGTAACAAGTCACAAGCATCATAATCGGTGTTGGCTTTTTTCAAGTCATTGAGTGTTGAGAAATGCATGGGATGAGCTGTGCAGAGCAGCTAGGAGACAACCATCACCGAGAAGGAAGGCCGCGTGCATTGCAGTATAAAGCCCGGCTGGACTGGCAGCTTCCGTCTTCATCATATTGCTATAATAAATGTAGAAAAAGAAAATAAAGGTGTGTATTCCCATCGTCCCATGCTCACCGAGGAACCAGAGGATAGAAAGGACTGACAGATCAGATTACCCAAGCATTTTAAACCAGCACACACAAAATGACTACAGAGAAAAGGAAAAACTAAAGATCCTTTTGCTTAAGTATGTCTATCAATCAGAAGCAGGCTACTATTTCTCAAACTTAAGGAGGTCTGAGTAATCATTAAAAAGACAAACGGCCCAATAGAGAAACTGTGAAAAGAATATGTATGGGTAACTTAGAGAAAAACAAAGGCAGCGACGGAGTGAGCTGATCAAATGCATCCTTACAAAGATTCAAATGTAAATGAGATGCCATTATTTTGCCTATAAAATCTCCACAGATTTTTAAATAACAAGAGATAAAGGAAAATGCATCTTCATGAGCCTGTAGAACAATGAGCAAGAAACCGGAGGCAAAACACAAGGGCGGAGAAGCTCTGTGCCTCTGCCTGGTATCTTTGTCTAGGAATTCTCCTCAAAAAGAGTTAAAATGTTTTATGATAAAATTATAGTATCCAGGTTGGGTGGTCTATGTGGACTATGCCCTTAATCCCCGCACTCAGGAGGCAGAGGCAGGAGGATCTCTGTGAGTTCAAGGACAGCCTTGTCCATATAGTGAGTTCCAGATCAGCGAGGGTAGCACTGTATGACCCTGTCTCAAAACACCAACAAAGAAACCAACCACAGAAAGAAAAACAGAAGACAAAACAAAACATAATAGAATCATTCAACAGTGATTTGTACAACAAAGTGTTAGGTTCACAGTGAGGTGGGTACTTTATAAGGACACTGAGACATATTGCTGGACAACAAGGGGTTTATTAGAACAGTTACTAATACCATAGACAGACAGACAGACAGACAGACAGACAGACAGAGTTAACAACATGGTAGGTGCTCTGAGGAGAGCCCTTGCTACAGCACCAGAGACAGACAGCATGGTGGCTCTCTGAACAAAATCCAGTCCTGTAGAAGAGGAGGCCTCTTATACCATTGAGGAGGGGTAGGAGCCAGGAGTCAACAGCCAGGCTCTGAGAGACCCAGGCAGGAGGAAGATAAGGGGTGGGAAGCGGGATGTGGAGCTCGCAAGTGAAATGTCACGCTTCGGCCAGTCTGCTAGCTCAGTGCTCAAAGTGATTTTAAGAGACAGAAACTATGAAGCTGGATAGGTAGGGAGGAGCAACTTAGAGTGGCAGAGAAGAAACTCCAAGTAACAGAATTGAAATTATGAAGGATTCACTAATAGATGTGCTTAGGAGACATTAAATCACACAAAGTATAATTCAACTAAGAAACCCTGCCTCCAAAATACCCCAAAGACAAGTAATATGCTAATGAGGCGTGCTGGCTAGTTTTATGTCAACTTGACACAAGCTAGAGTCATCTGAAAGGAAGGAATGCCCATTGAGAAAAACACTTTCATAAGATCCAGTTGTAAGGTGTTTTCTTAATTAGTGATCTATGGCAGAGGGCCCGGTGCTGTGAAACAATCTCTTTGTACACTATGGATATGTAATACTCTCATTTGCAAATAAAAAGATGTTTGGCTGATAGCTGGGCAGGAAGAGATTGAGTGAGAGAACAGACTAAGAGAATTCTGGGAAGAGGAAGGGCAGAGTAAGAGAGAGGTTGGCAAACTCAGAGAAGTAAGGTGAGAAGGCTGTACTGAGAAAAGGTACCAAGCCATGTGACCAAGTATAGAGAGAAATATGGGTTAATTTCAGTGTAAGTGTTAACTAGTAACAAAGCTGAACTCTTGGCTGAACATGTTTAAATAATATTCAGGCTCTGAGTTGGTTATTTGAGACCGGGAAGTTGGAAGAGAAACATCCATTTATAGTACAGACCATTATGGGCGGTGCCATCCCTGTGCAGGTCCTCAGTTCTATAAGAAATCAGACCGGGGCAAGCGTGATGAGCAAGCCAGTAAGCAGCACCCTTCCATGGTCTCTGCATCAGCTCCTGCCTCCAGGATCCTGCCCTGTTTGAGTTCCTGTCCTGGCTTCAGTCAATGATGAAGGATAATTTGGAAGCATAAGCCAAACAAACCCTTTCCTCCCCAACTTGCTTTTTGGTCATGGTGCTTCATCACATCAGTAGAAACCTCAGCTAAGACTCCAGACCTATTAGACATAAGCAGAATTCACTATGCTAGGATATAAATGCTTGCTCACCAGGACTGACCAGTTATTAGGCTCTTAAAGAATTCCCTTAACAAAGGAGACAACCCTAACATACCAACAGCCATTAGCCCCACCCTCAGATCAAAGAACATGCCTCTAACAGGCAACTCAAGGGGGCTCGAGATCAGGGTTACAGTTAATGATAATCCCTAGCCTTCTGTAAAGCCCCCACTTCTCTTATTGAGAAAAGCCTAAGTCTGGCAGGTAGGCAAGATGACCCTAGGTAATAACTTTGAGAGAAAAAGCCAACAACACTGGTGTACTTACAGCAACTCTGGCAACATCTTTGCTGTGTAGATCTCCATTTTGCCTAAGTGGCTAGACTTGTCTCTGTTTAAGTTGTTCCAAGTGTCACCTGGGGCTGGAACAAAAAAGGGTTAAGAGTGACGGTATATGTGGAGTGCGAAAGCCTAAAGTGTATTTAAGTTACTGAAATCTTCTGTTCAGGGCTGGCTCTTTGGGCACTAACCAGAGCCAGACCTGAGCTGTAGAGAAGAGACTTCTCTTTTATTAATCTCTAAATGTGTGGAGGGATTTCTCAATGAGAAGACATTATTGCTATAACAGGAGAAGTTGGGGGCAGGAAAGAGTGTGAGGAAAATACACTGTGTGAAATTCCCAAAGAATTAATAAAAACATTAAAAAACAAATGAAGGAATATTTTTTTATAGGAAAAGGAGGTATAGGAAGAGATCCAGGGGCCGGTGGACACTGGGCCTCTAACTTCGTTCAAGCAGAAATCTGAAGCCACACATGAGGGTGGGGCTTCTTCTCGTCCATAGAAAGTAGTCAGAAGTAGGTCTCTGAGGCAGAGGCTGGCATCTGCATTTGCACAGTAGGAAGAAGATGCTAAGTCCAAGTGGTACAGTGGCCAGTGTTCTGAATGAACTGGAGCAGCAGCGTGCTGATTCAGGAGGGCCCACCTGCTGTGAACAAAATCCCTTGAAAAGAAGCTGTATCTGCAGAGGCCCGCTGTTTAGAATTTCAGTGCAGTGGGGAGGTTGGAATGTTGCTGGTCTAGAGGCTAATTGCCTTACCATGGACTAGTTCTAACCTTTCTAAACATCCATCCCTTGCCCACACCTGTGTCTGAACTAACATCTGTGACTAATAGCAACCTTACAAAATCTATTAATTTAGCAGACCTCTAGTTTCCACCAACCCCAAAGACAAGACTGCCACCAACATCTGGAGCCTATAGAAAAACTTCTCTTTTCTTGCTGTTCCTGCCTCTCTGATGGACCCACCAATATCGTAAACTTTCCTTGACTTGTGTTTTCCTTTGTTCCGTAAATTTCTAAAACTTTATGAAATGACTTCCTCATTGGGACATGGAATCTTAAGTAACCTAAACCTTTATTCCCAGGCCATAGCCACTCAAAATGGTTCCTGAATAAACTCTTATTCTCTTTAAGATGAGAGCTATGGTTTGTTCATCCATGGTATGGGTATAAGTTAAAACAGTTACAACCGGAGGTATAGGTCAGAAGAGCCACAGCGAGTTTTGAAAACCGTGTTGCGTTGGAATGATTGAGGGAAATGGTGGAGGTAAACAGAACAGTAAATAACAGGGCAGGTGCTGGCAAGGAAGCACACGTCATTCTTCCCTTCTTGAGGTTAGAGACTACGGGGAAAGCAGAGAGTAAAGATGATTCTTAAAGTTAATCCCATTAAATAGTTTTTGAGTACTAGTTACCATGAAGTTATGCCATGCACAGAGGAAAGTAATTGATTTGGTTATTTAAAAGGCTAAAATAGCCCAATATAATTTTGGCTGTGGACCTGTGACATTCCAGCTCCCCACACAGACATGCCCGTCGTTGAAGGGGAACAACTCAGGTGCAGGCATGAACTTCCACTGGC